GGAACTGCACAGGGTTATTCAGCTCTAGGCTTCGCAGGTGGTAACGTGCCCTCAAAGGAGCAATATCTTGGTCTGTTTTGTGATAACACAACTTTCCTGCTTCATGTTGATATGTACATTTCCCTTTCCCCCACCTTCTCCATTTTCAGTTCAGGATCCAAAGAAGAATCTCCACTTTTTCCAGTTGCGGAAGGTGTGGGGTCAGATCTGGCACACAATCCGGATGCTGAAAGAGGATTGTAACCGGCTTCAGCAGGGGCAGCGAGCAGCCATGTACGGTGGCAGTTTCTCTAGAATACTTATCTCTGTCTTTGTGCACTGGTGAAAGGGAAGACAGAAATGGGACCCTGTTGGAATGGGGAAGCCCATGATTGGAGCTGTAAGCAATTAATGAAAAGCTGAGAGCCCTTTAGCACAACTACATTTGTCCTCATTGGTATCTCAAGTATCTACTTCGGATGCAAGTGGAAGCCTGGTGAATTTTTAGTTTCGGAGGCTAATCGGACTTTCTTGTCCATACAGGATGAATCTGTTGCGTTACAATAGTACCCTCTCGAAGATGAAGAATTCTATGGCCTCCCTTTCTCAGCAGCTGAAAGCAAAGCTGGACTTCTTTAAAACAAGCATCCAGATCGATCTGGAAAAGTATAAAGAGCAGATTGAATTTGGAATTAGTGAGTATAGCATCTGGCAAACAGGTCTTTTCATGCCTCTTATCTTCACAAAAACACCTACCTCTTTCTCTGTGAACCTGAAAAAGCAAATCACTCTTCTTTGATTCCTGTAGCTTCTGAGAAGCTGCTGTTTGCCTGGAAAGAGATGGAGCAAGCTGTGGAACTTTGTGGGCGGGTATGTTTCTAAATCTAACTGCCTATCATAAAGAAAAAGAGGCTTGTTTTTATTATCTCTCCCCTCCTCCCCCTTTTTCTTCATTGTCCCTTCCTTAAATAGAAACTCCTTGTGTCTGGACTGATTCCAGATTTCACATTACCTTGGTTTGTGTGGCACAATTTTTGTCCATTAGTACATGAAGCTTACTCTGTTGTAAGGCTCAGGGTAAAAAGGGAGATCTTGGGGAAATGCCATTAATGTCTTGGAAGTTGTTTTATCCAAGAGCACCGACCTAATTTCCTTGAATTTAAATGACTCATATTTCTCATTTGTCTTGGCCAAGGCTGCTGTTTGCACCTTGCTGGTGTGTTTCAAACTATGAATGAGAAAGGAAGAACGAATGTGAGTGGTAGTGTCTCTAAGTATGAGAATGGTAGAATGAGAATTCTACCCTGCTTTCAGGAGGATGATGTGGACCAGTTAGTGAAGAGGATGATGGCCCTTCAGACAGACATAGTGGACCTGCAGAGAAGCCCACTAGGTCGTAAACAAGGAGGAACATTGGAGGATTTGTGAGTTGAACTACCTTGAGTTTCAGATGCAGTATTTCTAGCTAAGCTTACTCACCAACGGGACAATGAAAGGGCTGTTTCTTCCACCCAAATTATGGGGGAGTGGGAGGACTTTAACTGAAGATGGTTTTTGACTCATCTGTCATTGGTCTGAAATGGCAGAGAGGTATAGAAAAGATTTGAGTTCTCAAACTATTTGTTCTTAATTTTGGTTCTTTGGGAATCCTTTGTTTTTTCGTGCTTTTTTCATCTAGGGAAGAACAAGCCAGAGAGCTGTACCGAAGACTGAGAGAGAAGCCAAGAGGTAAAAGACACTTTAGCTCAAGGTCAGCTTTATTTGTGTGGATAGTAACTTTGGAGATGTCATAGTTTTTAAAATGAACATTACCTCCCTTCTAGGCCTGCCCAGACATTAGCAGCACATGGACTCTCCTGAACTTGCCTTTTTTTTGAGAGTGGAGTCAGGGAGTCAGTTTCACACCAGGCCAGCCTTCCTGTCTTGGTGCTTTGTAAGCTGTTCTCCAAACTCCTCTGGAGCTTTTCTCTGAGCAGGCTGTTGCCACACGTATATGCTGCCACTTCTGTGTAGGAAGGATGAAAGACATGGCCATTTCTTTGATACAGTCCCAACTCTCCATTTCAAGTTCTTTAAATTTTGAAGAAGGTGGCTAAAAAACAGTGTAATTCATCCCACTCAAACTTGAATATCCTCAATTTTGGATGTCTCAGGATTGAAGCAGTATGGAAATAATCCACTAAGAATCTTCTCACTCTCTCCTATAAATCTACCTTTCTGTGTAATATTGGCTCTCATTCCAGATCAGAGGACAAGCGGTGACAGCCAGGAAATAGTACGACTGCTCCTCCAGGCAATCCAGACCTTTGAAAAAAAAGTTCGAGTCATTTATGCTCAGCTCAGGTGAGCTTTGTAGATTCTATTCAGAGTTGAGAGAAGACATTCTCTCTTCCAGCAAGAGAAGGTTTAAAAATACATAACAGCTAATGAGATCTTGCAGTGTTACAGGAAATAAGTAAATTCAGAAATGTTTTCCGACTGCAGTGGCCCACATGTGATCTGATTAGTTTTTACTTTTTTAATAGTAAAACTGTAGTTTGCAAACAGAAGGCATTGGAATTATTCCCCAGAGTGGAGAAAGTGATGAATCTGATGAGTGAAGATGAGGAAACAGTTGTTAGGCTTCAGGAGAAACGACAGAAAGAACTGTGGAACTTGCTGAAAATTGCTTGTGTAAGTAAAATAAAAACTCCACTTTAACCTGAGAATATGGTTTGTAGCACAGGTTACTGAAATAACAGTAAATTGAGTGTCCTGTGGTTCTTTATTTTGAATTAGTATTAAAGCCAAGTTCCAGTTATTTCACATTCCTAGCTGCTGAAAACTAGTTGAAATAATTGCACTCTGAATATTGTGTTTTCTTCAGAGTAAAGTACGTGGTCCTGTTACTGGCAGCCCAGAGAGCATGAACACATCACGTCTTGGTAGCTCAGGTCAGCTGCTGCTGCAGGTGCCTTCTGGAACATACAATTTATCAGAATCTGTAAGAAAAAGGTGAGGCGAAGTCTGGTGTTCTTCAGCTGCTAATGCTGGCACTACAAAGCTAGACTTCCTGCTTTGTGAAATAATGGCACACAGGGTTTTTCATATTTCACACTTTATGTTCAGCTTGCTTTGTCAGCACTGTTAGTAGTTAAGACTTCCTGGGGCTAGCAGATCTTCCTTTTGAAAAATGGGGAATCCATACATAGCTTCACTTCTCCCTGTCTCAGTAGTAAAGGTGGTTTTTTGGTTTTCTTCCTTTAATCTGAGATGGTTGAGCTCACTTGGAGGTACTCTGCCAGCAAGAATTGTTGAAGCATTGTCTTTTATGGTCATAGCAGCTGAGTTGCATCATTGAGGAGGCTGCTGTAACCAAGCATGTGTAGTTCTGGCTTGCTTAAATGAACTGGGTCGCCACTTGGAATTAAAGACCTTGGTTTGTTTATTTGCATGTTGCCCCCATCCTTAAGTTTATAGGCTATTCTCAGCTTTTTCTCTAGCAACAATGGTTCCTCATAATAAGAACCCAGTCCATCTTGGAATACATTTCCTTTTCCCTGTCCAGTAAATCAGGGGGCTGCCACCAACTTTTCAAGTTGCAGTATGAATTACAAGCCTATGACCTGACTGACTTCAGTGTTCTGCAGCATATCTGCCAGAAATATTTCTTAACAATAGAGGCAGCAGCTCTTTACACTGTCATAGAAATTAATAGTGTAATAATTGTCACTTCCAGTGAGGAGCTATTGCTGGAATCTCGGAAACTTTGTAGCCAACTAGAAAACATGATGCATGACACAATGAAGGATCAAGAGCAGAGTTTCTTGGTAATGTATTCATTGTTCTATAAATGGACGGGGGAAGTGCATGGGTTTGAAGTTGTGCTTGTGCAACTTTGCCACCACTAATACAGCTAACTGAAATCTGCAATTTACTCTTGGACAAGGGGAAGGCAGGAGCTGCAGATAGGAAGCACCTGTTCCCTCATGATCTGCTAACTGACATCCTTTGCTTGCCAAGACTGGGAGACATGTGCTGGGAACTTGTTGTGCTGAACAGTAAAGGATGGGGCAAAGCACTTGACTCTTGTACGAAAATACTGCAAAACTGCATGTAAATTTGGCATGATCAGGTGGCAGTACAGTGGTGGGCACGTATGCTTAATTTAATGATGCAGAATACGAAAAATTGCTATCAAGTGCAAGCAGGTAAAGTGTTTTCCTTGACAGCAGTCATGTGGCTCATCATGAAATTATACTGACCAACTTGTTCACAGTAAATTTTTTAAAACTCTTAGCATGCTTCTCATTTATGCTAGAGAAAACTGAACTGTAAGCTAGTGTTGAACTTGGTTTATTCTTTAGGCTCTAGACTGGAGCTGGCTGCAGTTTCAGGTAGAAGAAACAAACAGTCCAGAACAAACCCAGATGTAAAATCACTTTGGTTGCCTCTGAAGCCATGCTACTTTGGGAAGCCAACTGTGAAAAGCTGCTGCCTCTGAGAAGGGAGTATCAACCGCCTTCTACTGTCACCAACTGCTCTGTTACACCTATGGCCTAGCTTTTAGTGTCCACACTTTTCCACAATGATACATTAGGGAATGCCTGTTCTAACTGCTTGGAAAATGTTCTTAATTGTGCCTTAAGACAGCAGATATTCTGTCCTGATATATCTTTCCCTTAGGCATCACCTGTGGCTGTTTTGCTGCATTTTAGGCTTTCTAATGGACAATGAACAACAACAGTATACCCAGTCACTGGTAGATGTCGCCTTCCTAATGAACTGTGAACTTAATTTCTAAACTTTGCTGATTTGCACTTTTTTTCTTCAAGTGTAATGGTTGTACTTACCTAATACTTGTTTCCTATGTGGGAACGAAATTATCTAAAACATGTAAACTTTTGGTTTGCTCTTTTTGATGCCCTTAATAACATTATAGTGGAAAAAGCTGCTTTCACTGTGCAGGTCTCTAAAACGTGAGAGGTGTAAGAATGTTATCCTAGAAACCACAGGAGAAGGAAATCTTCAGTGTACAGGTATCGTGTAACAAAGCATTGGCAGATTATCTATTAACCATACTTAAAGTTGCATGAAAAGAAAAAAACAAAAAAAAGAACCAAAAAACCAAGCTGGATGGAACCTTGGTGCAAGTCAACACACACCAACCTTCTGTTCTGACCGTGAGCAATTTATTTTATTCTGATGTAACCCCAAATTTCCACTACAGCACAGAGACCTCCTTTTATAAAAGGCTGTGAAGTACAGGACATGCAAAATGCAATACAGTAATGGGGAGAGGTTGAAGTTTCTTCTGTTTTTTTTTGGAACAGATTTAAAATACAGGAAACCGAAATGTGGCACAAACATCACAACTTCCATGCATGCCTTCAGGTGTCTTCCTTTGTTGTGCTGGCACACTCTGGACTTCAACATTGGGTTAAAGTCATTCTTGGGAAGAGCAGAAAGTTCACACTTCTTCAAATTTCAGAGTAATATTAAGGCTGAAATACACTGGGTACACTTTTCCTTCATCTTCCAGAGCACCACCAGTTGTTTTACTTAAAGCTGTGTTAAGCTTCCAGCTCAAATCCCAGCCCAATTTTGTGACCTCCAGCACTGAAATTCTTGCCGTCAATCAAGCCCGAGAGGGTCAGCTTTACACCTACAAAAGCAAGTCATGAGAACCATCATACACTGAGATCCCTGTACAGTGCTCTCCCTCAGGTACTTGACCTCAGTAATGTGGCTTTAGTTGCTACAGGAACTTGTGTACATAGACATCATTTACTTTTCTGAGTCTGTGTAAAGACTTCTAGCTCCTTTGTTCATCTATTCTGTTCTTAAGATGACAGTAAATGAAACCATAGTGTAGTACTTAATACTATCTGCTGCCACCAGTGAGAATTACATACCAGGTCGGAGGGCGTGAGTGTAACCAATTCCAATGAGGCTGGCATTGTTCACTTTAGCCTACAAGAAAAAAAAACAACATGGTATTTATAAACTGTGTTTAAGTATTCATACAGAAGTGTCCCCAGTGCCCTGAGAAGGTGGCTTATGCATGCTAATGCTCTTCAGTTACTTGTAGACCAACCTCTATTAGAAGCATGTTCCTAATCTTTTCTCAGGAGTCTCCAGTTTAAGGAAATGGTGGTCAAATTCTGCTTACACAAAATGCCATGCTGTTCTTCATTGCTTCCTCTATTATGTCTTTATATCCTTTAAATAGCTACTTATTACAGTCCCTCAGAGCCTGTCTTGTTAAAATCCCTCAGAAGTGATTTTCTTTTTTATTCTAATGAACAAGAAATACAGGAATATGCAATCCCCTTTTTGTATTACTGAGCTGTTCACAACACTATTTCTCATCTTTGATTTTGGTTCAATGGTCCATAAATGCTTGCTACTTCGGTTCTTAGTATTAAAACACACGTCAGCTGACTTTCAAGGGTTAACTTACTTTTAGGAGAAGGCTGTAAGCTCAGCTAAACTTACCCCATTGCAACTATAACAGTTTTACATTATGGATTTAAGAATTGACACTGTGTCTTTTCATTACCTTTTAAAATACATTTTGCAGTACACCAGCACAGTATTATTCCAAGCACACTAGTCAGACTATTGCATATGGACAAAATTTTATTTTAGATTTATTTTCCCCCATAATTTCAAAAGAATGATGTGTGAAGTACCAATTTCAAATTTTAAATATGAACCACAACAAAAGCTATAGTTTGCAATCTACCACACTTCCTCAGTAACTAGTTAAAGTGACTGCTTTATAACACAAATTTTCAGTTTTTACGGGAGCTTGAAATACTCATTTCTCTAACAAAATTCTTACCACAATGGAAGTCTTCTCATCCATTTGGTACTTCCCAGCAAAACCAAAACGTGTGTTGTTACTGCCAGCAGTCCATGCAAGATTGACTGATGTCTCTACCTTATTATTAATCTTCTGATAAATAGACCCACCAAACTCAGTGCCATCATTCCTGTTTGTAATAGATGCAAGTGAGTCAAGCCTTGCCTTATTTATAGTAACTCTTTATATTAACCTTTTTCCCAACAATCATTTGATCATTATCTCCTAAAATTAACCAAGAGATCCAATACTTCCTTGAACCCAGGCTCACTACTTCCTAGCTGGAGCTGGCAGACTCCTGCTGCTATTTTTTTCCACAAAACACATTTTGCTTGGAACAAGACTTTCCCACAGCCAGAGACATACAGTTTGAGGTTCTGACATGGAAAAAACAACCCACCCAGATAACCTGGTTACTTGTCTTAAGTAAGCCAGTGTGAAGTAACACATAAAGGAGACTTTGGTTATGGGAATGAGAAGACTGAAAACAATGTTGTTGCATTACAATTGTTTAAATACACCATCTTCCAAGCATCTCAGGCCATTTGAATACCAAGACTAGAGCTATGCAGTGATGGAAACAAACACAATGCTACACATGCCTTTCTCCATCACCTTGGGCATTTCTGAGGGTGAAATTTCCTGTCTGATGGAGAGGGGAAGGTACAGTAGTTTACTTGAAGGCTTTTTTGTCTTGTGCCATAACAGAAATTAAAGCACACAGCTTTTAATTACAGATGACCATAAAGTGCCTTAACATCACCCTCTTAGATATGCAAACCCCAAAATTGCTCAGAAACAAGGTATCAAGATGGCCAAGAGTTAGGAAGTTGTACTGGAAATGAAAACACTGAATATAAATTAACTGGAAACAAATCAGCATCCCCTTTCCTTCACCCACCTTTGACCTAAGGCCATTACTGCTAACTATTCCCTATAGTTCAGCTCCTCTGATAACGTTTTTCTAGGCTCAGGTGGTACTTACACATAAGTATGCAGCTGAAAGTCTCCTGCCTTATATCCCAAGGCAAAATTATTTTGTGAAAGCTTATACTTGGCTGTATCAAAAGCCGTCTGGTAGCCAGCAAGCCAGCCGTCAAAGCCCAACACTGCCCAGCCATAAAGGGTTGGTCCAGAGAGATCAATGTCTACACTGCAGCCTAGATGTATATATTCTCTTTTGTAGGAGGTCTTCAACTTTCCACTCTTCTTCCTGCAGAGAGAAACACACCGTTTTATCCACAGTAGTATACAAGCATGTAATACATGTTGTTTTATTCCAATATGTATGTCTTTAGTTAATGAAACTACTGTAGTTCCTACTCAAAGCTTAACTGCTGCTGAAGAGGGCACAGGGTAAGGACAACGGTGTTACATATATTCACATGGTGTCACGTTTCCCCCTATCACCTCAAACTCTCTAAAATCCTCAAGAAGCAAGAAAGACAAAATTGTTTCTCCTTAATGCTTTAACACGCATCTGGTTTCAGGGGTTTTTTTGTGTAATGTGTTACGGCATCTTCAGTTTCTTTCAGGAGCATCCATAAACCTGCAGCAACAGCTGTCTTTCAATGAATTTTTGTCTATTTGTTCTCTCCACTGTTCCTTCCTTGTGCAGTACTTGCTTTCCTTTCTTCACTGCTGGGTACCAGTCTCCTCTACCAAAAGTAGATTTCTGCATCCTCCAGACAGCATCCACTTAGTCTGCCTTTTTCTGTCCCTCCTGTGATACCTCTTCCTCTCTCCAATGCATGTCTTTGTTGATCTTGCTACCAATTCAAACACAACTACAACAAAACTTCACCACCTCTTTAACTCTTTCCCCAGCTCCCTTTCTCTTCCACTCAAGACACAGCAGAACACTTGTGCTGCCTGTCACTCACACGTAGGCCTGGGGTCTCATTTTTGACTTAGCTTCTAATTCCTCATATCCAAGCAGTATTTCAAACTCAGGATTCTTCTGACAGGCTCTCCCCAACAGTAAATTAGTACCAGTCACTATTGCAGAGCAGTCTCAATCTTTGTGCATTATTCAGACATAAACACCCCTTCATTGCTCTACCAAATTTAACCACATGAGACTTGAGAAAGACAGCTAAGTCCTATTCCACTGCCCATTTTACCTCCTCATTCAACTGTGCAGACATCTGGCCAAAAACATCAGGAAAAAAAAAAAAATAAAAAAGTTTACTGAGTTGACAGCCTTAGGACCGTCAACACCATGAAGGAAGACACAGTTGTTTAAGGGGAGAGTGAGAAATCCAGTACCTAACTGCAAAACAACAAATTTGCCACTGGCCAAAAAGCTGAAGAATGCTTTCAAGCAGAACTTGTCCTTCTGAGTTAAGTATTATCCCCTGTCTGCAGAAGATTCTAGTGACTGCAGAATCTTCTCCAATAAATGCTGGGCTTTTACACAATGAACAGAGTCAGTACGTTTAGAAGTTAGTGGAAATTCTAGTATTCCTTAGATAAAGGTAATAGAAAATGTTTACCCTGTGTTTGGTACAAATGTAGTGTCAAGAGCCACCTTCAATCCTGTAGCGAACTGCAAAGAAAACAAATCTGCTCAAAAATCGGTTGAAACATAATTTGTTATAGTCTACTACTACAACTCTACTTCCTGTCTAAAGAGAAAACCAGATAGCATAATGTCTCCCTCATGATTTATAACAACATCTGTAGATGCTGCATGATGAAGGATTAAAATAGGACTTTTTCTTCCCACAATGAAGTCCTTTAACAGCACAAACTTTGAAGGTATGTTTTTACATGCAGGAAGATGACACATCTAGTGCTGACAAGAAAATTATTCACAAAATAACGACAGAAAGAAAACTACTCAGTTCATGTTTGCTTATTCTTTATAGTTCAAAGAGTAGCTCAAACATCTCTCTCATAATTACAGATACTCTGTTAAGACACAGTACTTCTTTACTGGCTGGCCAAAGCACATACCCATCTCATTTTTCCCCTCTAGCTAGATAGCATTTTCCACTTTAAAGCACAGGTAAAAGTACAAGCATGAATGGCCATATGTGGCAGACCACCACAGAACTTTTACTATCTTTGGTATCATTACCTTATACTAGAGGCATTAAGTGAAAAGCATAAACCTGTTAATGTCCAAAAGAAACGTGTTTTGAGAGTGCTGTTGGCTAACAACCCTCTGTAAGCAGTTCCAAGCTGCAAACACTCATCTTTCTCTTCAACCTTGTAAAATATATTCTATCTCAAGGCAGCCGAACTTGAGTTCTTATACATTAAAGCATTTAAAATTATGAGACCCGTCTTTGGCTTCCTTGCCTGACTGCAGCAGTGACAGTTCTACAAAATTAGCTTCATTCAACCAGCTAGGTAATTCCACACACCTAGTAACTGCAGTAATTGTACATACTCAAATCATTACCTAGCAGCACATGGCTCTGAGAATGCCAGCACTCCCCACTCCCAGCCTGTGTGTTCTGCAAATAAATGTAACTTCTTCAAATACTCCACATACTTTTGTGCAATTTTCATTCTCCATTGTTTTCTGTTCAACTCAATACTATTTCATACCAGTTGAAGAAACATTTCCAAAGTATCTACTTGGTCTTACCTTATCCTCAACAGAAACTTCTGTTCCCAATGTGTTATCTGTGTTCCACTTCTGGGTGAATGTAAGTCCTTGGTCTTTGACCTTATATTTGGTCTCCAGACTGCCTGAAGCCTTGCCTGTGTCTGTGTTGGAAGAACCGGTTGCAGTGAACTCCTGTCAAGAGCACAGTATCACAGAATCACAAAACAGACTTGAGTTGGAGGGGACCCAGAAGGATCACAGAGTCCAGTTATTTCGTGAATGGCCCATACAGAGATCAAACCCACAAGCTTGGCATTTTTAGCCACCACGCTCTCATCAGCTGATCTAATCACAGGGTCACGAGTTTCAGCACTCTTTAATTACATTCAGCTTTTCCACTTGTCAAGTGCCAGCACTCACACCCTTAGGCCTTTTGACAGAACCCTCAAAATCATCATCCTCCTCTTCCTTATCTCCACCTAAAATAATTTACTTTGTGTCACAAAATGCTACTCGTTCTGGCATCTCTGTTCTGAATATTTCTTTTATTGAGGTGTACTGATAGAGCTTTGGAACTTGCCTAGGCTGGCAGAAGCCCTATTACAAAAAGATCCAACACCCTCATTTACTTTTCATCATGGGATTTGATTACTTCCTCTCCCCCATCTTAACTTTAACCATACTTTTTTCCAGGCTTATCCATCAAAAAATTGTTTTTCTGACTTTCACTGCCAAAGTGGCAGTTATTTCAACATTCCACAATCTGCTCTGTACCTTCACATGACTCCATTCCCAGATATAAAAAGATACTTGCTTGGGATGCAACACAGTATATATTCCCATATTTTTCTTCACAATCTCCTCTAATTCCTTTTATCATCTTAGTAGTACTGGCCCAATTGTGGATGAAAAAGCACCTGTTGCACCTGGAAATCTGCTTCCCCCTTAACAAAAGCAATCCTACACTCAAGTTACATTGTTAGAAGAATAGCAGGAAGAAAAAAAGAGTCTTTTCTCACATTTCTCCAAACACCTCGTTTCTTCATTGTAGTAATTTTTTCCCCTGTTTCAGAAGTGAAAATGTTTTCAGGAGAACTGATGCTTTTCATACAGACTACTGCACCCTAACATTGTGGATTAACATTTTGGTTCCCCCTACCATTTACGATATTGTCATTTAGACTCTTCATATACTATGGTGATGACTTTAGTACCTTCCCCCACAACTTCTCTTTCATTAACTCAGCCAGCAACTCCACTTCAGAAGCTAAGTCACCCTTCATAAGGCACCTTCAAATTGCAGACCTTTTCTCCTTTACAGTATCCGGAAGTAGCCTGACCCCAGCACCTTGACGTCTCTGTCAGGCTGGTCTTTCACCGAGTAGTGTAATGGAACCAACAACTTTGCATTTTGTGTAACATGTATTTTGTAATATGCTATTCAATCAATGCTCCACACATCAGAGCTTCCTCTTATTTAGTGGACTTGAAGTCTCAATATACCTCTCTCCTGGAATAGCTGAAGAGGCAGTCTACTCAGTGTTTCATGCACAGCTAAGTATTAAGCACTGAGTAGGTATACTGCCACAGTAGCAAACTCAAGGTGTATGAGTTAGGTTTTAAGAAGCATCTGAGAACTTCTCTCATTCGTTATCCTCATCTCTCAAATATTTCCCTTGAAGGAAGATAAATAATCTGTCACTACATTTAAAAGTTTTGTCTCTTGAAGTTTAAATACTGAACGATACAGTGATTAAGAGACAGCAAGATCCATTCCCAACATATGCAAGCTTCGGAACCCTGACTTTCCAGATCCTTCTCATTCCAGGATTGTATTCCTGGACATACATTACTTTCACAATTCTGGACTTTGCAGAGCATACAAGGATACAAAGACTGTCTGTAAGTGGTTGAGAAGTGCTAGGGAGCCAGGTCAGATTCCTTACACAGAGTCTGGGGCAGTGAGGGATGCTGCTGGGGCAGGAAGGGACAAGCTGATGCACTACTACAACAGCATAGCAGTTACTGTAACACATCTAGCCAGCTAACAAAAACATGTGACAAAAGTCAGGATGTGTTTAGACTGCCTTAAGACATAATTGCTATACAGCGTTCTAATGTCACTTCCACAAATTTAGTGTAAAGACATCTCAAACCTGCATCAGAATTCAGAAGTAACTTTTGTCTTATCTTAGAACAGGTAATTGATTAAAAAAGCTTGGTTTCTTTCTCAGATTAAGCAAAGGACAGATGGTAAACACTTGTCTCAAATCCAAAGGAAATAAAAAACCCTGCATTGTCATATGATCAAAAGCCAAAGCATTCTGTCAGGCATCAAGAACTCAGTCTGCTTCTGGAAGCAGAAGCCGCAGAGGCAGAAGTCTACAGCTCTCAGTCTTTATCTGTGTAAACCAGAACATCTCACCAAACTATAATTTCTTTATTTTTTTGTAGCTGAAAAATCAAACTCATTCTGGCTCCATGTCACACACCAGTCTGCATCAGCAGTTAAGCAGAGTTTCTGATTGTCTTTTTAGTTTATGGTGCCCAGCATCTACAGGAATGCCACGCACTTAGTAGGCAAAACCACTTGCAATCTATGAAACGGTTCTAATCAACAGACACTGTCATTGCGGCTTTCTACATCTACAGGTATCACTGTTGTTTTTAAAGTTCATGAGAAAAACACCCAAATGTTTGAGTCATAACAATCGGAGGCACTATCAGTATCTGTGTATGAATTAGATCTCATGTTTCATTCCTAACTTCATCTTCATCCCCAAAACTCTATTTTGTTGCAACAGAATCCTCATCAGAAACACACACAAGCTTAAAACCTGAAGCAACAGACAACTGTACCGATACCATATTGATCTTGTTTTCCCTCTTGCTGTTTTTTCAGTGTTCTTGTTGTGGATTGTTGGACAAAGATTGCAAATGGCTTTACATGCATGGATCATGCAGCAGATCTAGAGCTATGGACAGAGTCAAACTGTACAACATGAATAATAACATGCCTAAAAACAATTCAGCAGTTTAAAAATTACTTAGTATGCAGCACAGAAAGCCTTGTCAGACAAAGCAATAAAGAGCCAACATGTCAAAACAGTCACTATTCTTACCAACTGGATAAACATCCAAAGAAAATCGCATGGAAAAGAAAAAGCCCATTTTAGAACTTAATACAGTTGTTCATGTTCCATCACAATCAGAAGACAGCATAATTAACTATTAGCATATTATTTGAGAATCAAAACTTCCAGCCAGGAAAACTGCCTATCAAGAGATGTCAGTAAGTGAAGGCAGCCACAGTATGGAGACCACATAGCTCCTCATGCTCACATGTTCCTGGTGCACAATGGAAGTAATCATCAAAAGCTCAATTAAGACAGAATACAGTAAGACAAAACTAAGGACTTGCACCATTTGCACAATAAGAATGCAAGAAAAGGAGGGAACTCAGGCAAATACAGTTACAAAGTAGGCTGAAAAGCAGCTCGTTTTACCAATCAGAACGGCACTGAGCAGTAAGACTTGCAGAACTCACAGTGAGCGTAAGAAAAATATTATCGAGTAAATAATATATGCCTGTGGTTAAAGATCAAAATTATGACAGCGATTCCTGGTTTTGCCAGCCCTCCTGTGAAATTGCAAGGGAGTTCCACTTCTCCATCATTAAAATGGGGATCACAGAATATTCTTGTTACTTGGAATGTTAAAGCTTACTTAAGCTCTCAAATTCTACATACAGGGTACTGCAGAAGGACTCTTTTCAGTTTTAATTAGATCTTGCAGTTTAAGCACAGTAGAAATGAGTGAAAATGCAGTTAAGTTAAACTCTGGTGCTTATTTGTCCCTTGACCTTTTTGATAAAAGTCCCTCTGGACTAAAAATCCCATGAGAACTAGTAACAGCCAGGAAACTCAACTGCATTCCTAAGCGGAAATGAGAGCTACGTTAAGGTGAAGAAACTCATGTTTGGGATGTGTCAATGGAACAGAGAGGAGAATAACAAGGTACGTGAAAATTTTTGCACACCACAGGAAAAGAAGTACTGCTACATCAGCTACATACTATTGTAGAAATATCTCAGTCAGCTACGAATCTTAAAATGAGAAATGAAAGAGAAGCCACATCTGCTAGCAAGTTAATACTTGTTACCAGTTCAGGAATTTGTCCTTCCACTGCTATGCTGGTGATGTTGAAAGCCCTCAATACTTACCACTCCACTAGAAGACTTGGTCTTCAACTCTAACTTGACCATTCCAAATCCTGAAAATAAAATAGCACACAGGGCCTGTTTCACTGAAAGATGCAAACAAGGCTTATTTCCAACATACCCAAAGTATGCCAGATAGGGTACACTGACCTGAAACAGCCTATTTTCATGTTTAAACACTTGTTGATCATGCTGAGGGTTACAAGGATTATAGATGGATGACTGAAGGAATTTTGACAACTCAGAGTAAGTAGCCTAATAACTTAAAACGGACACCAACTATCAAGTATCTCCACCTTCTGTAGCTACTTGCAGTCTGGGACCCATCAATATGGTTAACCATCTCTTCTGATTTATATAGTTTACATTTTATTTCTGATTACAGGGCAAGAATTTTTTCTTTTCCTCTATCCAAAAAACATATGTTTCAACTTATTTCAATCAGTGCCATATACAAAAGTACTATTGCTTTCTTCCTTTTCTGTTTGCTCTGAATCTAGGGAAATATCTGGCCCTTGCACTAAACAGAAAAGCCTGAAGTAACTGACAATAAATCATAGAACTTGAGTTGATTTTAGCAAAGCCTGAACTCCAGACCACAGTGCATTTTAGTATTATGCAGGATATGGATTTGGGATACAAATGAAATCTTTATTGACAATTTCAAAATCAGATTAAAAAAAAAATCAACACTTTCTGGTAGTTGCCAGAAAAGGGACAAATGCATGGACCGTGAAAATATTTGCACTCCAGCTTAAACAATAGGCTATTCCAATTAACATAAAGATCACGCTTCCTCAGGAACCTGTTTATTGCCACATATGATCTCCTACAGCAATCTATGTTAGTATACCTGATTTAATGACTCTAAATAGAAAAATAAGAAGGTAAATAAAGGGCGCAGCATTTTTCAGACTGTTCTGGAGCGCATATTATTAAGGTCAAACCTGTAACCTGCCCCTCAAACTCTCCGCCAGTGCAGTACTATCATAACGCACATCCAAAGTTCAGAATCAGAAGGCACTAGATGCTCCAGGGCTTTGCTGATTTTCTGCCATAAGGTATTAGAGAATCTCTGAGGTATTCATGTTCTTACAGGCGTTTTCAAGATGCCTAAGGAAAAAAATATGGAAGGTGATCCTCATCTTACTTACCATATCCCTTGTTGAAAACATCCCTGGCAGACTTTCCCAAGTCACAGTATGACGGTGGGACAGCCATTGGATCTGAAACATATGGGAAGCTGTAAAAATCTTAGCTGCAACAGCATAAAATCTAAACTATATCAAAAGCATTAATAAATGTCTATGATTAGTAGTCTCTGAGTACCTCACCAATACAGAACTGTAAGATCTTTGAAGAATGTTCATCAGTCATCATTGCAGCTTTGTCAATTTAATTCAAAGAATTTATAAAAGTCAATCCGTTATACACAGTCGCTGAACCCAGCTATTACATTCAATTACATATGCTGGCCTCACAGTCTTACACTGCAGAAAGAATTCATAGGAGTCTTATTGCTGTTCTAGTAACGAGGAAACATTGCTTTTGTGACAGGACCCATTGTGAAAGGGACGTCAAGTGGGAAACAACATCAACACCTAACAATCCTAAAGGAAAACAGATCTCACTTCCATCTGCACTTGTGATTTCATAGAAAGCTTTTCCAGAGATTTGAAAAATATAAGAGATCTCTGTACACTGTCCAGTAGCCATCAGTGCACTGCATACACAGAGCAGCAAAACCTAAGTTTGCTAATGGGGTACATTTCCTAATACTGTTACAACTACATAAGAGGACAAAGTTCAAAAGGATGGGCATGTAATATTGCAGTGTAGATGATACACTTCATTAGTTATCACAATTTAGGGATTTTGCATCAGAAAGCCCACAGTAAAGAAGTAGGCAAATTCTTTCCCATAGAAAAATTAGTCTTCCTCTTCTAAAATAAATCTGCATAAATGTAAAGGCACACCTGCTCCAGAAGAGAAGAGCTATCAAAGATGCTGCCTTCATTTAATTTTAAGGGCAATTCTTTGCCATTCCTACTGCTGATGCATTTGTTCATATTCTTCTTTGCGATACCCAACACCAGAAATCCCTGATCCCCCATTTGTTTATCCCCCATATTGTTTATATGAAAGACTAATCTTAAAAGTAATGAGGTGAACAAAATGTGTGGAAGTATTTAAGTTATCACTTGTCTTCCACCATTTTAGTCACTTACTGGTGTACTTGGTTTCCCTGTCGCAAATGCAACACTACAGTCCTGCTTTCAGACAGACAGCCGTTCCTAAAATGAAGCACTTGGGCAATGTACACAGCATACTATAGAAACTCTTTGTTCGGTGACTTAATAACTAACCTGCAGTAGATATCTGTCAGTACACAGGCTCAGTGGTTCTTGTGGGTTCCTTCCAATTCAGGATGTTCTATGGTTCTATACATACCTGTGGGTTTAGAGGATCTGGAGCCCATGGAAACATTACAGAACACAATGATAATGGATTTGTAGCTGGCCTCTAAACCACATAACCTGAAAGCTTCATAATAGTTGGTGGTAAACCCCAACATAATCTGGGAGTTAGGACTGACCAATTCAGAGTTTGAAAGACATCCGTCTATTCTAACTTTCAAATTACATTGAGATTTTTACATCAAATGAGAGCTTAAATAATAACCCCTTACTCCAGTTTCTGAAAACATGTCACCCCTCTACATTTTTCACGCTTTGCTTGGCTGCCTCTTAAGCCTTTCTGCCTCCCTGCACAGATGGGTATGGGCTTTAGAGAGACAAATGACAACAGTGCTCAGCAGTCTTCACAGCAGCTTCACTGAAAATACCCGAAGGAGGACCTTACCATCCTGATCAGCGCCTTCTCAACCTAAATCTCACCTTTTTGAGTGACAATCTCTTGTACTTACACCTCATTTTAACAAGGCTACTGAGACATCTTGGAATTGTGAGCCTATTCACTTTCTTTACACTATGCAGCTATATCTTCTGTGTTCTGTGTGTTCAAATGTTAAATTTTATGCAAGCATTTAAACAGTATTAAAAAAAAAGAGATGCTCGAGGTTAGCCCATACCAAAACACATAATTTCTTTGCTAACAAGCAGCTCTACTTGCACAACAGACTCGTCTAGAGGAATCGATCTCAGTTTCACAGCTCTTAACATTAAATTCGAATCAACCAGATGAAATGGCAACAGCCAACGAAACAGTGTGAAGTGAGAAAAGAAACACAAGAATACACGCATGGGTCAGTGGAATAAGTGTAAAAAACCAAACCAACTGAAAAAACAAACAAACAAAAAAAACCCTAAAAAAACCCCCAAATAAACAACAATAACCGAATGGCCGGTTTCATGTTTCATTACGGATGCGGGGCCTTGCCCACAACCACCGCCACGCACCTTTGATGGGGGAGCCGAGGGGCGGCGGCTGCGCGGCCCCAGGAGCGCGAGCACCGCCCCCGCCCCGGCACTGCCCA